CGGGGGTAAGGGAAGGGAAACAAGAAGGGTTTACAAGAAAAGGGGGGCAGTAAAGAGAGGAAGGTGCAGTAGGGTACTTGGTATATTTGTAGCAGATTTCCGTTTATTTTTCCTTTCCTGGGCTGGAGACGTCACAAGTATAGTGCCCTTTGGGGAATAACACATTTGTTTGACCCCCCTTTCATTTTCCCCTTTCACATTTTCACAGTGAACAAAATCTCGTCTCCACAATCATTGCTCTGAAGACAAACAGGTTTTTGACACAGCCACCCCCACACATTTTCTTCCATTTTTTAAAAAATGAAATAGTAAAAGCAATAAGGGGTGACGTTTTAGATTTTCATCAGTTTTTTTAAATAGAAATTTTCAGAATGCATTAAAATAAATAATCAAAAGCGTTTAGTGGGGGTTGGGGGTATGTGCATATGAAATTATTGCCCTTGCAATTTTCCCCCCAATGTTTTCATTGTGAAGTGATTTTATACCCAGGCATACTGAAATGTTCGTGCAGGCGAGTTAGAGGTGTGGCAGGAGGGGAGACAGACGTGGCAGCAGCACTGGATGACCTTAGGGGCGGCAACTCCCCACTCACACTGACAATTCAGCTGTAACAACTCCACCTTCACCAAGCCCAGTGGGCCCAAAACCTTGACAGGTATTTTGTATAAAATTTTAAGGGTTTTTTAATTTTTTTAAAAATATTAAATTTCCAAAAAACTTTCAAATAACAGTTAATTTAAATTCAGAATTGTCATTTTAGTTTCACATGGAACAAAAATAATTTTTTTTTTTTTTTCAAAAAACCACCCCCTATCCACCAAGGGGGGTGGCCCCCAAAAAAAAAAACGAAAAATTTTTTCTTTTTAAATTTAGTAATTTATGCGGAGAAGGGGTTCTAGGGCCCCTTTCCCCGGGATTTAGTCGCCCTTACAAAACGCATGCTTATGGGGAAGAATTTTGTTCCACTTCCCCATGGAGATAAGAAGACATAAACAACAAAACAAAACTAGAAAGAAAAAAAGAAAACCCAGAGGGGTGTGTATATATAAGCTTTTAATTAAGGTAGGGGACCTAAGTGTAAGAGAAGTAGCAAGATGTACCTGAAATTTTTGCAGTTTAAGAGGCAGAAAAAAGACACCAACAATCCTACCATCATGTAAAACAATTACAAGATTCCATTTTACACTCACTTGGCAGGACGGTAGTACTTCCCTAGATACATGTATTTACATGTAATAAAACATTTTTTCACAAAAAAAAAGGGCCACTATAGCAAATTATATTAGTAACCTCTCAATGTAATATACTACTTAGGGGGAAGGGTGATTGCTGTATTTTACGGTATCGGTGAAGCTATTTTTTACCAAAATTGGGAAAATGTTTTGAAAATTTACCCAGTATCTTGATTTTAAGGTTACTTTGCTCATAGGCCCGCCACCCTAGAGAACATTTTTTTACAGACATAAACTGAGCTCTGGTGTATGACCTAATAATAATTTGGGAAGCCCTTTTTTTTAAAGTAATGAATAATAACAAAAATAACCCCAATTAATTTTAAACGTTTGCTTCGCTTAGTACTGATAGGGAAGGGGAACCAATGATGGATTGGGTGGATACGGGAGTATCATAGGCTAATTGGCCGTTTACTATCGGACCCCTGTTAAATATTTTTTTCTCTCCTCAAACAATCCTGAATAAACCCTTTTTAGGGTCCATGCAGTAGTACTAACTTTGACTCAGGGTCCGTTCGTAAATCTAGCTTTTAGCCAGGGGCCGTGTCGTAGTGCATAAGCTTTGGGCTCAGGGTCCTGTCATAGAAAGTGGCATTTAGCCAGGGTCCGGTCCCCAGTATTTTTTGACTCAGGGGCCATGTCATAGTACTAGGCTTTTAGCCAGGGGCTGTGTCATAATACTAAGCTTGAGCTCAGGGGCTGTGTCATAGTATATGGCTTTGAGTCAGGGGCTTGCTATCAGTGGGGCCCCCGCATACGACTTTAACCGTGCAAGAGGGCTGAATGTTATCGAAATGATCGGTATGCAAAAGAATTTTTTTCCCCTAAAAATAATGGAAATCAAATTAATCCGTCAAGACAAAACCCAAAAGATGAAAAAAAAAAAAATTTTTAAAACCCCATGAAATATACATTTTCCTACACAAAAAGAGAAGGGTACATGCACAATGTAGAGTATACATGCACAATATATATTGTGCATTACTACCTACTAAATGGAAAAAATACACTTACCTTTATGAAGATCAGCAATGGCTGATAGACACTGTGTCCTGGGAGGCCTTTTTTCCTATACTGAGGGCCCCGTTTTGGGATTTTCTTCCAGAACGGCCCTTTTCACACTGTGTATGCCCTTACGATTCTTAAATCTCTCAAACCAACCTTTGCGGGGTTTAAATTCACCCAAATGACACATTCCAGGCATTTTTCCCTGTTTCCCCCGGGGGTTTTCGACTGGTTGGGGTTTCATCCTGGGGAAAAAGATTAAGGACCCCCCAAAGGAAATAAGTTAAACCCTTCTTCGATACAAATGACTTTTTGGGTTATCCTGGGGAAAAACCCCCTGGGGTTAATTGTTTCTTGGGATTCTCAATAAGCCACCCAACAACATGCTACAGCAGCAGCAGCAGCTGACAGTCTACAGCACACAGACGACTAAGCACAGCAGACCCGGGACAACAGCACAAGCAGCTGACGGTGGTACAAACACAAACAGCAGCTACGGTGGTACAAAGCAGCAGCACTGACAGGCAAAAGCAGCAGAACGATATACAGCAGCAGGCCCAAAATGCTACACACAGCAACGTACTAACAGCCAAGCAGCTGACGGGGGTACAACACAGCACACGACGTGCTACAGCAGCAGCAGACGATGGCTACAGCACAGCAGATCTACTACACAGCAGCAGCTGACGGGGTACAGCAGCCAGCAGCTACGGGGTACAGCAGCAGCAGCACTGACGGGCTACAGCAGCAGCAGCAGCTGACAGGCAGCAGCAGCAGCTACATGGACAGCAGCACAGCACGTACCCCCAAATATACGATGGTTATTGGGGTTTTTTATACAACCTTGCCACTCGGAGACACACTCCCCCTTTTCATACTTATCAATGTCTTTTTCTTTATCCTATAGTAATTCTCACCCTTATTGCTGTAGGGTTTTGGGACTAAAGCTTTCTTGGGGCCCATGGTCACTTAATTTCCAGATAAAAAAACCAAAAAACACTGTAATAATACGAAATGTTCCGATTGTAAGCTTTGGGTGTTACCGCGGAGGCTGGCTGGGAAACAATGCCACCGGCGGCACATGTGAGGCTGGCTAAGGGCGCACATTGGACCGTCTCGGACGAAGAGCGGTGAGCGGTTTTTGAGCGGTATGCGAGGCAAAATTTTGCGATAAAAGCGAGCGGTATCGGATTGAACGTTATGATCGGTGCGTACAGTATGCGGGGGCCACTGTACTTTGTGAAAGCTGTTTAAATGGTAAATTTTGGCTTAGATACGAGAGAATGGCTGTGGTGTTTTTGAGTGTGCATCATAGCAAAAAAAATCCTTCCCCAAAACCCGTGCATGATAAAAAAACAAAACTGGCCTGTGTAAATGGTTTAAAAAAGCGAATTTAGTGTATTTTTGGGGTGGTTTTTTTTTTTGGGTTTTTTTCTCTTTTCCCTTTTGGGATGTTTTATAGAATGGAAAATAATTTATGGGGAACTGGAGGGATTTTGGGTTGGTTTGAGGATTGGGAAGGGACGGTTTAAAAATTTAAAACTCAAAGTTTTCGAAATAAATTTTATTTTTGTCAATATTCCCGAAGACTCTAATTTACTTTGTCTAAATTGTGGCCAAGGGGGCCCTTTAATCATGTCCACCCCCCAAGGAAGGTTTTCCCTTTAGGGTTGGTGAGGGGGTCTTGTTTTTGGGAATTGGATCCCGGCCCAGTTCCCCCAAATTTAAACCCGAAAGCTTTACTCCCCCCCCCCAGGCGCTTATTATCCTCCGGGTTTTTGCGTCTTTCCCCCTTTGGGTTATAATAATAATTTAAAAATAAAACATGTCGACTACCAGGGGGAAATTTTTGTACATTACAGTAATTGGGAGTTTTCCTGCATAACAGTAAATATTTCTTTTTATATAATCCCAAATTTGTAAAACTTTAAAAATAATTTTTTAAAAACCCGTGAAAGAACCCTCACAAGTCTACATGCAGTTTTTTCCATCGATACATCCACTTGCACGCAGTGAGACAGCGAGTGGAAAGAGACCACAGCCAGTCACAATGAGAAACAGCTACACACACTGAGGAAGAAATGGCTGATTGGGATTTAGCAGATCTAGGATAATATCCTGTATGCTGGAGAGTGAGAATGTACTACTTCACATAAATTTAGCACTTTTATGGTGCAGTTTCCTGTAAATTTAGCATGCTTAGCTCGTTTTAGGAAAGTTTTTTCCTAATCTTAACCTGTTAGGATTGGGAGGGCACAGCATCCTCAACACCGAAGCATCTTTTTGCCATAAAATTTGGTGTCTGAACGTCTGTTAAGTCAGAATAATTTTAAGAGTCACAGAAAAGCCAAATACAGCCTCTCCTCACGTAGCAACAAATTCATTTACCAATGTGGTCTTAGCAACAGAACTCTGTCATTAAGTGAGGAGAAGCTGTATTCTACTCTGTACCTAATATAATTTGCTCTACTTTGTACCTAATATAATTTATGACTCACGAAATCGTAATGACACGATTGCAAACAAACCATACCAGTGGCTAACGAGACGGTCTGGAGTTTTGAGACTCTCTGACCGCGGGTTCAATCCCGCCCGTGGTATGGTTTATAATTTATGATTTTTTTTTCAACATGTCGGCTGTCTCCCACCAAGTTGAAAGTAAAATTTAACCAGTCTATTTTGTTATTTCAAAAGTCCATTATATCTAAGTTTATTATATCATAAATTTAAGCATAATTTTTCACCAACTGTATACTGATGAGTGATAACTTTGTTTTCTCTGTAGCTGGATACCTTTCAAGAAATGCTGGAGTCAACAAAGCTGGAGAAGAGCGCAGCAGAGGAGGAGAGAGGCCATGCCCATGAGCAGGTTCTCAGTCTTATCCGGGAATGTAATGCCTTAGAAGAACAGGTTAGCAGCAGTACTCTTCCCTCTTGTTCTTAGTGAGGGCACAATTTAGGAATTGCTTATGGATGCATAGTATTTTGCAAAAAATTTTAATCTGTATAGTGGGAGGTTTCCTTGGGATTTCATGTTTATTCCAATGAAGTAAGCAACAGTGGTGCTAAAGGGAAGCTTGAGGGCTGAAGCCCCCAAAATTCCCATAGCCCCCTATATGAAAACAGTGCTAATAATAATGTCTAAAAACAAGTTTCCTAGCTCCCATGTGGCAAACACATGGCAACCCCTAAGTCCCTGTAGTAACAAAATTTTGGCACTGCCCCTGAAAGTCGGGTATCAACTTACTTTTGTTGTCTTGAGCAAAATGGAGTGATAGCAATTTTTAATTCATGCTAAAAAGAACTCTTAATTCTCACCACTTCAAATATGCCAGGCACTGCTATTTTTGGCCTTAGCTTAATGGCACTCGCAAATAGATAATTAAGCGTAGATAATTTCACCAACACAACAGGTAATAACACATGCATGCAAGCATTCAGGCATACAAAAGAGGCACTGGGTAATTACCAATAAGCAATTATGTGCAGGAGAAGAATCCTTCCTCCATAAGTAGTTCATGTAGTAAGAGGCGACTAAAATACTGGGAGCAAGGGGCTAGTAACCCCTTCTCATGTATAAATTACTAAATTTAAAAGGAAAAACTTTCATTTTTCTTTTTAAATCACCCTGCCTCAGTGGGAGATGGCCAGTGTGTTCAAAAACATTACATGCTCACAACTAGGTAACTGCATTACCAGACATTGTAAACATAGTCATCTTGACAAGCATAAAAAATCACTTTTGTCTTTGTAGTGACTTACCTCAACACACCCCTACAGATCCACCGCTTGTCGAAGGATAAGTGTCGCCTTCAAGAGCAGGTATCGAGCCTTGAGAACGACCTCCGCAAGGTGAGGGATCATGCCCAGGAAGCCAAGGATCAACTGGCCATGAAGGTCGAGCAATTAGTTGCCATCGAGAAACAACTGAAGGAGATTAAGGTATCCCATATATTGAAATTCTCATTAAAGTTCTGGTTACTAGCACAGGTGGTGATAGGTCACAACATAGGTGGTGAGAGGTCACAACACAGGTGGTGAGAGGTTATGACACAAGTGGTAGCGCAACAACTTCAACCCTTCAAAATGCATGCACTGTACGTCCTATCTCCTGGACTCTAGTCCTGTTATCCCATCTACCTAAATCCATCATATTTACTAGACTATCTTCTCAAACTCTCCTTGCTTACCTACCTACCATCCCTTAGGTACCAGTGTGTAACAATACACATGCAAAGAAAAAAATGTTTAAAAAATGCAAGGTGTTGTTTCAGTTGTGGTAGTTCCATATCTTTATGGCATAGTGATTTTGGAAAGCCCCTCATTATGCAAACATTTGGGCCAGCTAATACTAGTCTAGTTTTTACAACTACCATATACTCGTACACCTATGATGGAGATGTTGACTGTTAAATGCAGTAATAATTTTAACCCTTTGAGGGTCGACAGGCCCTCTCCGAAACTCGTTCTCAGGGTCGGCCAAATTTCAAAAAAAAAAAAAATTATTTTTTCTTATGAAAAATAGTTTTTCCTTCTAAACATTATAGGCTAAACAAAAAAATTTTACCGTCAATACTTACCGAGATATGGAGGCGTGAAGTTTGCCAAAATTGAACAACATCTGGTAACATCGCCGACTGCCGTCACCCGGTGTTTTTCTATTTACTTTATGTACTATTTTCAATTATTTTTCAATTTTTCTTTTTCTGAGTAACTTTTATGGCCTCTGAGGCCAACATGATCAGTATATTGTAAGTTATTTCTTTTTCAATACTACACAGTAAGGGCATAAACACTGTTGTCATTATTTTGTTTATAGAAAATATTTACACAAACAAACGATATGAAATTGTTTATTACTATTTTTCTATATTTTATATACACATATACAGTCACAGGGAATGTTTCTAGAAGTTCTGCAGCTTGTGGAACTCTTTGAAACATGGTGTCATGCACAGTGGTGTTTTACATTCCTCACACACAAAACGAGTGTCTCTGCGTTGTTGTGGGCGTTTTTTTGTATGTGAACCGATGTAACACCTCTTCTGAGCCTTTTTCTTGAAAGCAGTAGCAGGCACTTTTACCAGGAAGTGATCACCATGCTTCAGACGAGCAGGTAGTTGTTGATAATTTGGTGGGCGGTCAATTGCAGGTGTTGTTCCTTGGTACTTGAATACTATTTGTCTGATGACAGACAAACAGAATTCGCCGTACTGTGGTTTGTTTCTGGTCCTCATCTTATACATATTATAAGCATTGAGCATGGAAATGTCCAGAAGATGGAAAAAGAGTTTTATGTACCACTTATAACTCTTGCGAACACAATCAGCAAACCCAATCTGCATGTCACATTTGTCCACTGAACGCATGTTGAAGGTGTAATCAATCACAGCTGCAGGTTTTAGAATGAGTTCATTGCTCTCTCTATGCTGCCTGCCACTGTCTGCCATTTCATTAGGGTGAACTGATGACAACAGTGTGACATCTCGTTTGTCATGCCACCGAAATGCCACGATGTCATTGGCAGCAAACGCCTGCACCTCACCTCTACGAGTGCCAGCGTCAAACCTGGGCATATGTTTCCGATTTGCACACACTGTGCCCCACACATCTGTCATGTTCACTCGCAAAAAATCACAGAGTGAGGGGCTTGTGTACCAGTTATCTGTATATAATATATGCCCCTTACCAAGGTATGGTTCTATCATTGTTCTAACCACATCATCTGAGATGCCCAATAACTTCCTGGTATTTTGCAATGTATAACTTCCAGTGTACACAGTAATATCCAATACCAGACCACTGTAACAATCACAAAGCACAAACAACTTTATACCAAAGCGTTTCCTCTTGCTTGGTATGTACTGCTTGAAAGAAAGTCTTCCTTTAAACAGAATCAAAGACTCGTCAATTACAAGCTTCCTGAAGGGATAAAAATGCGTACTGAATTTCTCTTTCAGATACACAAACACATTCCTAATCTTATATAACCTGTCGTTTCTGTCAGGCCTGGTTTTGTCTGAGAAGTGAAGCATATGTAACATTAGCACAAATCGATTCACTGGCATTATATCACTGAAACCTGGGGTTGCAATCATGCGGTCTGTTGACCAGTATGATTTCACTTTGTGCCTATACACATGTGGCATAAGCATTATTGTGGCAAAGAAAAGATACATCTCAGCCACAGTTGCCTCCTTCCACTGGTGTAGACGTGATTTTAGTGAAAGTAATGTGTTTGCCATGGTGTACTCGTAGTATGTGTTGCTTTCCATGACAATACTTTCCATCAGTGGTTCGTCAAAGAATAACTCGAAACATTCCAGTTCAGTGGCATTGTTCCCAAGTGTACAAGATGGCCGTATTCCACTTTGGCTGTCATCAAACTGGTGGGCATTTGGAACAAAATTGACAGCTTCCTGCCAATCCCAGGTGCGGTCTGCTGGTGGGTACTGGACAATGACAGGTGGTTGTGGTTGTGGAGGTTGTGGTTGTGGAGGCTGGTGTGGTGGGTGGGTGGGGGATGGTGGCCTTTGTTGTATGTAGATCAGCTGAGGCAGCAGCGTGGGTGGCAGCATGGCCCACTGCTGGTGCCTTACCGCCTGCACCACTACCACCACACACATTTTCCATCCCAATTGCAACAGTATCATCGTCATTTTCACTCTGTTCCTGTTGTACAGCCACGGGATGTACTCTGAGATGCACTCCTTCCCCTTGGAATTGCATATGGCACTCTACCAGAGCTCATATATCGTCGTATATACTGACGCTTCACTGGGGAATATTGCACTTCACTATCACTACTGGAACTAGTTTGAAGAGCTTGTAGTTCATATTCACTATCACTATCATCACCCATGCTCTCATCTGAGTCTGGGATTTGGGAAAATAGAAGTTTCCTCTTGGATTCTGGTACAACTGAACGTGAACAAGGCGGCCCAGCACCAGAGGTGGAAGGCTGAGGGTCGTCTGGGTTTTCCTCACTATTACCGATATTATGGTCATTAGTTTCGGTCAAAACCTCACCAAAACCTTGAAACTCATCTTCACTGGCACTTCCATCTGTATTAGAACTGTCACTGGGGAACAAAAGTGTCCCAATTCGCCGAGGAGTGAGGAGCTTCTTACTGCGAGGCATGTTGGATATTGTTTACTAAGATGGCGTTCCCACAATGCACCACTGGGTCCCAAATTTTTTTTCTACCACGCACACCGACCACACAGACCCATTTTCTCACATGTAGGCCTACCAGCCTTTTCCCGCGAGATTTGACGGCGCTAGAATTTCTGCGTACTAGTACGTCAAAAAACCCTGCGCGTAAGACGTACTAGTACGTCCGAAACCCTCAAAGGGTTAAGAGGCAATTCAGCATATACAGTTTCTGTATCTAAGTCAATGGTTTTAATTAAAGTGATGAGGTTGCAGTTTACTCAGCTGGAGGTAAAAGATATATCACTGTTAATAAACATATATTATTATTTTTTTTTTTCAACAAGTCTGCCGTCTCCCACCGAGGCAGGGTGACCCAAAAAAGAAAGAAAATCCCCAAAAAGAAAATACTTTCATCATCATTCAACACTTTCACCACACTCACACATTATCACTGTTTTTGCAGAGGTGCTCAGAATACAACAGTTTAGAAGCATATACGTATAAAGATACACAACATATCCCTCCAAACTGCCAATATCCCAAACCCCTCCTTTAAAGTGCAGGCATTGTACTTCCCATTTCCAGGACTCAAGTCCGACTATATGAAAATAACCGGTTTCCCTGAATTGCTTCACTAAATATTACCCTGCTCACACTCCAACAGATCGTCAGGTCCCAAGTATCATTCGTCTCCATTCACTCATATCTAACACGCTCACGCACGCTTGCTGGAAGTCCAAGCCCCTCGCCCACAAAACCTCCTTTACCCCCTCTCTCCAACCCTTTCGAGGACGACCCCTACCCCTCCTTCCTTCCCCATAGATTTATATGCTTTCCATGTCATTCTACTTTGATCCATTCTCTCTAAATGACCAAACCACCTCAACAACCCCTCTTCTGCCCTCTGACTAATGCTTTTATTAACTCCACACCTTCTCCTAATTTCCACAATCCGAATTTTCTGCATAATATTTACACCACACATTGCCCTAGACAGGACATCTCCACTGCCTCCAACCATCTCCTCGCTGCTGCATTTACCACCCAAGCTTCACATCCATATAAGAGTGTTGGTACTACTATACTTTCATACATTCCCTTCTTTGCCTCCATAGATAACGTTTTTTTTTCTCCACATATACCTCAACGCACCACTCACCTTTTTTCCCTCATCAATTCTTTGATTAACCTCATCCTTCATAAATCCATCCGCTGACACGTCAACTCCCAAGTATCTGAAAACATTCACTTCTTCCATACTCCTCTTCCCCAATTTGATATCCAATTTTTCTTTATCTAAATCATTTGATACCCTCATCACCTTACTCTTTTCTATGTTCACTTTCAGCTTTCTACCTTTACACACATTCCCAAACTCATCCACTAACCTTTGCAATTTTTTCTTTAGAATCTCCCATAAGCACAGTATCATCACAAAAAGTAACTGTCAATTGCCATTTTGAAAATTTGATTCCCCATAATTTAATCCCACCCCTCTCCTGAACACCCTAGCATTTACTTCTTTTACAACCCCATCTATAAATATATAAACAACCATGGTGACATTACACATCCCTGTCTAAGACCTACTTTTACCGGGAAGTAGTCTCCCTCTCTTCTACACACCCTAACCTGAGCCTCACTATCCTCATAAGAACTCTTAACAGCATTTAGTAACTTACCACCTATTCCATATACTTGCATCATAAAGCCACATTGCTCCTCTATCCACTCTATCATATGCCTTTTTTATATCCATAAATGCAATAAAACCTTCCCTACCTTTATCTAAATACTGTTCACATATATGCTTCAATGTAAACACTTGATCTAAACATCCCCTACCCACTCTGAAGCCTCCCTGCTCATCCGCAATCATACATTCTGTCTTACCTCTAATTCTTTCAATTATAACCCTACCATATACTTTTCCTGGTATACTC